CTTTTGAGTTCCCGTATTCCCTCTTGTTTCAAACTTTTTTTAATAGACCATCTTTTCATGTCGTTTAGATTTGAAGTAAAGACAAAAGCACTTTTTTCGGTAATTCATGATAAACTGATCAAGTAATATTAGTGATTGGATCTTAATCCATTAAACAAAAGCTGTTAAAGAACTTTTCCATATATCGTAAATATTCAAAGAACTGTTCACGGATCATTCGATATATAAAATATTTTCACCGCACGACTTCCTGAGCGTCAAGTTCTGCCTTCTGGTAGAGTAATGATTGTCTCATGAAATCTGATGGAATAGAAAATCGTCAAAACTGTGATGACAACCGTATCATCACGAGAACGGCAACAATGTCCACCTACAATTTGTGGTATTGTGCAGCTAGGTGCTGTTTTTTTTCGTATTCCTTAACAGGAACACTATAAAAGCAGTTCGACGTGGTCACGACTGCTTGTCAATCTCTTCGGTCCGGTTGCCTCTCTCGTCGCTTATAAGAGTCATCGCAGGAAGCATCCGCCCCCACAACTCTTCAACTTCATCTTGGTCTAGTCTCCTAACTCACACATTTCTTCTAGTTATCTTCAAAACTACAGTTTTTCTCTGGATGCCTTTCTTCAGCTAGAGTGTTACCAAATTCAGTGAACAACCTGTTCAGTGATACATACTCAGGAAAGCGCTTTGATGCGATGAAATAATTTCTCTATAATGGCTGCTAGCTAAAATCTAACCAGTCTAGTTTACGGCAAAATAAAAAGTAATCAATGGAATTCTATTAATTCTGACCAACAGCTTTTGAGCTTAGTGTTAACTTTCTGAACCGATCGAATTCGTCTCCATACCGACTTTACTAACATCTGATTTATTTGATAAAGTGATTAACTTATCAAATAGAACAGATCCCAAGTGATCATTTTAGGAGTAGTACACGATATGATGTTGCCTCTGAGAAGTTTTTGCAAAGATTCTTGGAAAAACTTTTGCAATTACTATTAGTTACGATGATTTGTCATTTTGGCAAGGTCGCACCTCTATCTAGTTTTTTCCCATGAATGCGGTACAAAGCCATTAGTTCTGTTGATTGTGTTTCAAGCCAAAGTCTCTCCTCTAATTACTTTAAAGTCGTTGGTAGAAATGTCATCTCCCCATCATCACCGTCATTAACAATTCATAGGTACTGATTAGGCATTCCTCACTGTGGCGTTATTTTTAAACATTTCGTGCCAAGCATTTCATCTAAATAGTGAAAAAAACGGAAGCAAATTAATAATAGAAAACATTCGAAGGTATTGCAGCCTCGTTGCAATTTCAACACTTTTGGGGCTGGTCAGAAGAAATAAAGTACTCTTGACTTTACGTAGAGAATTTTTTTTGAAAACCCTTTAGACTTTGTTTTTTTGAGGATATAAAACTTGATATCTTTTAAATCCAAAGAATTTGTTGACTTTAGCCTAAATAATGAAGCTTAACAATTTTCTTAAATCAAACGGGAAACATCGTTTGGTTCCGCACCACACCTACGCCAGATAGTAAGTTGCTTCACATCTTCATTTCCAATTTCTCCACAGTGTGGATGCTCTATTGTTTAGAAAAATTTGTTTTCAAGACAAAGATAACATTTTTGCAAAAAAAAACTCACCACTTAGAAGATTCTACTGAGTCTTCTGTCAATGTGAGGAAGAATCTTCGACTTCTGCATTTAATCGGCCGAAATCCAACCTTCCTCAATTGCGCCTTTGACAAACTGGACTGTTTCCATTTCTATCTTATCATCAGTATCATTGTCCTTATTTAATCGCGAATTTTGTCTAGCTTGAGAACATATTGTCAACAATAATGCCTTGAGTTCACTGACTTCACTCGATTGCTATAAACGGTTCTACTGTTTTGATTTTCAGAGAAGCCTGCCTTTCGTGAGTCATAAGATGCATACTGGAAAGCTCCTAACTGTTCTATTGTCATTCGTTCACTCTGTCCACACTCATATTGCACTCGAAATTGATAATGGTATTGTAGGTGGGATTTTTCAAACCGTTCAACATGTCTTTATGTTGCTTAGTGTAATAGCTCTAGTACATGTAGGTAATGTAGGAAAGACTAGAGTAATTTGTCTTGCTCAAAGGTGTTAGTGAGAACTATTCCAACTCAAGCTGGACTTTCCAGTGTTTGTGTTGCGCACTTGGTTTTATAGCGCATTCATCTGGCCATTAATTCACTATTTCTTATGTAAACGCGCTTATCATCATTTTTAAATACAGAAAGCTGTAGGATTAAATTTATATGCTCACTATCTACTTCAACGTTCTCAAATTACAATGGAACAGAATAGTCCAATGGGCACGGATACTTCTCGCTTCAGAAAGCGCCATACATTCAGCTCCATTCGTAGCAATGTAGTGGTCACTAAAGTCATTTTCCATTTTACCGACCCCAGAAAAATGCAAAGGTCGGTTTGCCAGCGGCACGGGATCGCTCCGTGTGCACCGCGGAGCACCCCGATTCACCTCGCTACTGCGCCACGATATAGAAGCCAAGCAGAGATAGAAACAGACATAGAAATGGAGATAAAAACAGAAATAGAAGTAGAATTTAAAAAAAGAAGGAAAAGAAAAGACTAGAAAAAAGTAGTACGATGGTATCTCAATGTTTTTTACCGACACCACAAAATTTCTGCTTATGGAAAATTTCTTTGTTAGTGACATTTTAGTAATTTTTGGTTCGAAACAAATCAACAGCCTGTGTTCAAAAAATTGCGTAGATCTAATTTTGGTGATATAGGTTGCAGCTGAGAATAAAGCCACTATTGAATTTATTGAATGGCTACACTAAGTAGCCGTGTTGGCCTAACGTTCTCACCATATCTACCATAGACCAGTGACTACGGCCATCTAGAAAACAAAGTTTACCGAAATTTATTAATGCGTTGTTCTGATCGGAAGCGTTGAGAAGTCGTCAAAAACATAAGACGTAGTTGAAATGAAATGGAACCTCTTCGAAATGGTCACGTAGAGGCAAATAGAATGCTACGATTAACGAAGTTTTACGACATTCAAAACGTCGAATAGAGGTGAAATACTTGTAAACACACCTCTTTAAGTTTTTCCAATCATAAAGATGTTTTTTTTGAATTAGAAGTTCAATTTTATTAAAAATGGTTTATATAGTTGCTATTACCACTTAGTCAACAGAAAATTCTCACCTTTCTCTGGCTTCTTCTTCATTTTCACAAGGTCAAGTGGAGCCAATAAACATTATATAGAGGTTTGTTTTTGATAGATTTTGGCTTATCGTACTGTAACTCCGTACTGTAACATACTGGATCTTTTCGAACACGGTGGTCGTTATCGTGGTTTTCTGAACGCGTTTATGAAAAGTTGGAGTTATGAGAGTCAGTGATGTCGTCAAGTACTTGTTATATGTGAAGTGAGCAGGTTTCATTCAGATCGTATGCCAAGTACCCTCAATGACTAAACTAGTAAGGCGCTTCCGCAACAATAAAAGTCACACACACGCACACAGACACACACACACACACACACACACACACACACACAGCAACCAGCCTAGCTCTCAGTCCTTCTAACATACACATTGTATATGTATGCGTTTTGGAAGATCGTTCTGCCAAATATTCTCGAAAACGCGGGTATTCATGCATAGTTCAAATTCAGCATGAATATTTTTAGCCCATAGAGAAAGTGGGTGTAAATTTAGAAATTTGATTTATATCCAGTAGTCTCTGATTGGTTTCCATTTGCTCAAGAACATGAAGACACTAAAATTACTTCCGAACATATTCTGGAGTGCTCGAGTACATTCGAATCGAATACTCGAATGTCGCGTGTGCACGAAATCACAGACTTTGTGACGCTCAACATAAGCACACCAGTCAGTCGGCCGCGTGACCTCGGAACGGATCGAATTCTCAACCTCCCCATATTATCTTCCAAAGCTGCGGGCGTTTGCTCTTAACTAGCTCCTTTTGTTGAAAACGTCATCTATTACGGTTTTTTTTAGGTTTCTTTTTCTTATGGTGCTCACTTTTGAGCCAAAAATTTTTACATTGTGTTTTCTGCCTACTACAATTTTCGCGGCAAAATACTAAGCGAAATACAACCACAACGTTGCTGAGATATTTGCAAAACTCTAGACCACAGGTGTCTAAGGTGGGGAACGAACGCGGTATTGCTCTTCCTGAGGAGTAGCGCGTTCACCACCACACCATGACGGTCCCTCGTTTCGACTGTCTCTCAGCTAGTTCTATCGATCAGCGCTATCAGCAATCACCCGCCAGCGGGATTGATCTGGAGAGCCCACATCGGCATTGAGCCCAGTTAAGCTGAACTTATATCACCTTGGATGCCTGTGGTCCAGAGTTTTGCAGATATCTCAGCAACGTTGCGGTTGTATTTCGCTTAGTACCCTGCCGTGAAAATTGTAGTAGGCAGAAAACAAAAAGCAAGACAATGTGATGTCAACTACAGCCTCAGCTTAACTGGGTTCAATGCCGATGTGGGCATCCCAGATCAATGCCGTTGACGGGTGATTGTTGATGGTGCTGATCGATAGAACTAATTGAGAGACAGGCGAAATGAATGACCCGCATAGCGTGGTGGTGAACGCGTTACTCCTCGGAAAGGACAATAACACGTTCGTCTCCCACCTTAGGCACCAAAAAATTTTGTTGGCAAACAGAGATTTTCTCTGGTTCCACGTTCTCTGATGGTTCGTCAGTGGTAATGACAAACCTGTTCCATCGTTCAGAAGTAACTTTATGGACTGCGGAAATGGGTCCATATGTGAAGAGGATTGATTTAGACATTATATGAAATAGATTCTTAAATTTATTGTTAACATAACGAGAAAAATATAGAATTACGTGGCGTTCGAATATGTTTTCAAGCCTTATTGTCTTAGCAGAGAAAAGTTTCTTTTAGCGGATTTCTTTGGTCACCCGGCTTTTCTTCTATGGGTCTGTAATTACTGGCCAGTTTACTACTGATCGCCGTGTTGTAGATAAGGCGCGTGTAGCGCAGTGGTCGCATGTGCCTTGCAATACATATGGGATCGACCCCCACGCCCCAGGCTCACCAAGCCTTCGTCTCTACAGGGTCGGCAAATTGGTAGCAGGGTTGTCTGGGGGATAGCAGCTCGGGCGCAATAGGTCGGTGGTCTATGGCGAGCCATTGTGAAGACCAGATATGTATACAGTCACCTCCGACGAAGCTTGATGAAGTCGAAAGCATGAAGCATCCATCAAAGCTAGATCCAAACTGTGAGCTTTATCCTTTACCCTTTCACTTTTGTAGATATCCAAAAGAGCAATTGAAATAAGTGCAAAAACGAAATTATTCGATTTGAAAGTACGGGCTTTTGTGCTAGACATTCGCTTCCGGATTTCTCGACCTTGACCGAAGTAGTGAAAACCGCACATGAAGCGGAATAATTAGGACCATATAGGCCTCGCTCCAGTGAATATATTAATGTAAAGTTCTGGTTTCCGACAAACAGCAACGACAAACACTTTACACCAGTCTGGTGAAAATGTTTCGCATTCTAGGCGAACCAGAAGTCCAATGTGGATCAGATTCGATTACATTATTGTTCAACGCAAGAAATCCGTTTGCTGGTAAAATTTTTGTAAAGGTAAGGCAACGAATTTTTATTAATAGTTGAAATCACTAGAAGTATGTCAAATTACTGATATTGTTAGTTTCTAATTCCTCGCTCTTCGTTGTTAGGATATAAACTCTTGCAAACGGAAGATACTCTGCCGGGTTACGTTTGCCTGAAAGTTAGGCTGAGATCTCATTGTTCAGTATGGTGGCAAATAAATACTTTTGCAAGAATTAAAATAAGCCAACTAGTTAAAAATGGCGAGTTTGAAAAGTTTTAAGCTAAATATGAATCACGAGGAAAGTTTGTAATTACGAAATTGGAGAGTTTCGTCCAACACGCCGGGAAACCTGTGTTTCCACTAACTCTGAAAAAATCAACGAGATAACAATATTTACAGCCATTTAAAACTCTCAAGAGTTTCAATCTATATTTGTTTTATAAACTTCGAAAAAAAAACTCGGATATTTTTAAGGGTTTTGTCGCTGATAGTGACTGTGTTATGATGGGTAATAACAAGCTTAATCATCGATTCACTGTTAAGCATGATTCTTGTGGAGTCCGTCGTCAACGGGAGGTAAGCTATAGGAAGAACTTTTTCCGGAATTTTCCTCTTTTCTTCCAAGGGCACAGTACGAATAGAAGAGGATCATATTACTAATTTAAACAAAGTGGGAAAAAGAGATTATTCTAGCGTATTTCAGGTGAACGGTGTTGTCATCATATCAACTGTGATCGTCTCATTTCATTCCGTCGGTTTTAGCTTGTAGTTTATAAAATTGTTTAGTAGTTGGCGCCTAGAAGGAAATCGTAGTGCACTTTAATTTACAGTAATCCTGCTTTAATATCGACCTGTCTCATCGTTTCCTGACAATAATTGCCGTTGTTAGTTTCTTACAGCTATTTCATTAGTCATCATAACCATGTGTAAGTGCATAGAGTGACTGATATCATTTCTGACTTTGTTGACAATTTTCCAAGTTTTTTTTTCAGAGGATATTTAACGAAAACATAAAAAGTGGTCTGAAGCCACGACAGCATTCCGGTAAGGCAAAAAACAAAATGCTTATATAAAGAAGTAATGAAAGAGTACCGCATCAGGAAATCGAGTCCTCGATTAAGTTTTTCAGCAGCAATGAGATAGTTTCATGTTAAACAACCAGGTTTAATCAGATCATGACAAATCCGAGTAAGTTTAAGTCAGCGCGAAACGGACTTCAGCAGGTGCTCAAACCTGCGACCATTCTACAGTAAAGCAGCTTCTTAAATTGGTTTTCAGGCTAATTTAAACTACTGTTCCAGATTTTCATCACAAAAGTCGATCGTGCATATCGTCTTAGTTGTTTCTACGTAGAAGGAATGAAAAGAGTACAACAACAACTAGACGTCGCGTGAGTGCATCAGATCTTTTTTTAAGCAGTTTCTCAAATACTGCGTTCTGTTATCGAATTCGATGATGATCGTCGTCCATCGGAAGCCAATAGACTGGACTCGTTAACGGTTAAACTAATTTCCGACCGTATGACGCTTTTTTCAATGACGTCTTTACAGCGAACGAACCGACAGTGAACTCGTCCTTTACACGTGCTTTACATAAAGGAACAAAAAAGTCCACAATGTGCTTTTGAAAATTAAGTGGCTTTGATGCAGACATCTTTTCCGGATTTGTCATAGAATGTCCAAAACATCATTGAAAAGCGGAAAAAATTCAGCTTATAGCAGGAAAATTTTTAAATTATGTCGAAAGAAAAGTGCCAAATGAAATTGGACAGTTCGAAAAACGGCCAAAAGAGCGCCATGACAACTGGAATTTAGACAGTGACTTGACAAAGGGCATTACAGAGGTAACCTCAAACAAAAAAATAAGTGCCTGCAAATTTTTGCGATCCATACCTGGTTCGTCTAAAAACGACTTTTCCCTTTCTATCTTCAGCATCGATTGGTATCGATCGACCTCAGATCGTGAAAAAAAGAATTACAAAAAAATCCGAACGGAACTACCATTTTATTAACTTTACAACCTACCACACGACATGGTTAAGCACTCTTATTCATTCGATTTCTAGGATGATACCCTTTGGGATGTGCCATGGATTGATATCGATTGGCCTTGAAGTGTGGATTTTCTATTTAAAAGACTTCATCTTCCATAGTAAATGCGGAGAAGTGCAATATTTGGTTATGGCTGTTTAGGCATTAGAAAAACATTGGTAACCGATCCTATTCATCAGATAACCGTGAAATTACGGCACAGCGGGAGAAGAATTGCAGCATAGCCGCATAGCTAGCAATAGAGAGAAGAAAAAACATCTGGTGTCTGTGATCATTAGAACAGGTTTTATGGCAGTCAAGATTCAGCCATATAGAAAACGATGTGAATTCCATCAATGGACTTTCCTTAGCTTCGCTCTCCTACCTAGGGAATAGTTTCAAAACCTGTCAACGTTGGGTTTTCTTGAGATCACTGAAACAGGTTTTGTAATAGCCTGGGTTCGCCCATGCAATGGAGTGCGTGGTTCATTTTGGCGGATTTTCTGTGGCATCCTTCTCCTACGTAAGTAATGCTCTTAAACCATAGCACCATCGTTTTTCGCTCCGTGATGAAGCTTATTAATTAAAAGTATCCATATCCAATATGGCGAGTTCTTCGGTTCACAAAAGCTAAACGAAGAGTTCTCCTTGTCTCGAACTAGTTATTATGTGGCATGAAAATATAGATAGCAGTGAAACGAGGATCTCGATGGTGCAGTGGGCAACACATAGAGCCACATGGTAATCGCGGGTTTGAATTTGGCCTGAAGTCAAAGTTTCGCAAATATCTCAAAGTCATTGTGATTGTATTTCACATAATACTAAGATGTGAAAAAACAATAGGCAGTAGATATAGCGCCATGCATAAATAACAGCATCTAAACCTATACTTTACAACAGAATTTAAACATCTGCGACTGCGCGTTCGACAGCGCTGAGTGACCTTTCATCCTGCTTACGCAGTGACCAGGTTTCTGACCCATACGTTAGGGCAGGAAGTACAGTTCAGTCGAAAAAGTGGGCATGGAGTCGGGTGCTCTTTGTTTTCTTTACTACATCCCCGATGCTCCTGAGAGCACTCCAAGCCTCTCGTTTCCTTCTGCTCAGCTCTGGAGCTAGGTCGTTCACTTTATTGACTTCCCGACCTAGTCAGATATAACTGTAGCATTCGGAGATATTCGTTCCGTTGAGCGTGAATGAAGCATGCGAAACCAATCCCTTCTTCATGAACATCGTTTTTGTGAGATTTAGTCGAAGACCAATCTTTTCACACGCTTTATCAAAGTCGTTAAACATTAGTTCCGCTTGGCTAATGTTTGGTGTTATAAGGACGATGTCATCAACAAAACGAAGATGGTGTAACTGCCGACCATCGATTTTCACTCCCTTACTATCTCATTCCAATGTTCGCATGACGTTCTGGAGGATTGTGGTAAATAATTTAGTCGAGATGGTATCGCCTTGCCTAACTCCTCTTTTGACGTCAATGTTAATATTGTTGTAGAATGGTGATACCTTGGTTGTGAAATTTTTGTGTAGCTCACGAAGAATTTTTATGTACTGAGTAGAGACACTCTGACTGTCAAGGGTTTCCAATGACAGCTTCTATTTCATTTGAGTCAAAGGCCTTTAAATTGATGAAATTGAGACAGCGCGGTCTTTTGTATTCTCGCGATACCTCATTGAGTCTTGTTAACGTCTAGATGTGGACCATCATACTAATTCTTTCTCGAAACCCTGCTTGCTCACATGGCTGTCCTTTGTCCAGTGTTCTGTCAATCCTGTTCAGGATGACTCGAGTGAAAAGTTTGTAGACGACAGATAGCAAGCAGATTGGGCGATGGTTGCCTGTATCGTGTAGCTCATAATTTTCGAACAATAACACGGTCTCGTTGGTCTTCACTGAGAAGGGACCTTGTATACAGACAGGTAACGTGTGAATAACCGAGCCAGTGTGTTTACGAGGACTCGCGGAAGGTTCTTCAGGTGTTCTGGTCTTATCCTGCTCGGACCTGGTGCCATTCGATTTTTCATCGGAGAAATGGCACGTTAGATTTCGAAAGGGATAACCGGTGATACAGCTTATCCATCCTCCTTTGTTTCATATGACGGAAAGCAGACGTGGCTATCGAAGAGATCCGAGTACTATTCGTGAGTGATTTTCTCTATTACCTTTCTGGTTGCTGTAACTGTTCCGTCTGGGCACCGGAGTATAGTTATTTTGCTCTTGTAATTTGCGAAGCTTCGGTGGGCTTTGCCAATGCTTTTCCCAGCCTCTGCAGCTTCGGCCATTACTGCTGCTCTTCTCTCTTTAAGATCTTCTTTTATCGCCTGTCTGAATTGTTTTGCAAGTTCGGACGTTAGTTCGCGGTTGCCTGCAGCTCGTTCGATCCCACGCTGGCGTACCAGCTCGAGTGTTTCTGGAGACAGATGTCTCTTGGTGACTTTCGAACTTTCAGCTTTCATAGCGCTGGCGTGAAGATGTTGAATGAACCGATCGTATTTTTCGTCGATGTTATCGACATCGGCATCTTTCCGACAGTCGACTAATAAATTGAATAAGTCCCAGTTTGCGGTGGTTCTGGGACTCGGTTTTGGAATTTAGCGGATTTTTCTCCTTTCCGCGAGGAATAGAATTTTGCGCGAGGAAGACGGTGGTCTGATTTAGTGTAGAATTTTGAAACAACAGCGACATCGGTTAGGCAAAACCTTCTATGTACTATGATGTGGTCTATTTCGTTATGGTACTCTCCATTTGGAGGCTCCAACGTCCAACGTTGAGGGTGGGACTTTGGGAATTGCAAGTTACCATGGTTTGTCTTGGTCGCTATGATAAACTCAGACAGGGGCCCACCCTGTTCGTTCTATTCTATTCTAATCCGTAGGTCCCAATGTGACATTCTTCAGACGTTCTTCTTGGTCCAATCTTGCCGGTAAAATCTCCAATGATGACCCTGAAGAATGTATGATCTCTGTAGAGCTCCTCCAAGTCCATATAGAACGCTTCGACTTCTTCTTCGTCATAGTTTGATGTCGGTGCGTAAACGACGAAGATTGTCAAAGCCGAAATTGATCCACGTTTTCTTAATCGTAAACGTCCGATATGGGTTGTAATTTGTTCGAATGAATCGATGTCCATTGACAAACTCGTGTTGACGAGAACGCCGTCGCCGCCGACTCCTCTACTGTCGCATGTTCCGAGGAACAGTTCTTCTCCGGTGTCATAGACGGCGTTGAAAGGCTGGCGTCTCCTCGTCTCGGCCAGGCCGATGACATCGTACCTTATCCTTCTTGCTTGCATGAGCAAGTCTTCTATCGTGGACTCGGATGCAAGCGTACGTGCAATGTAGGTACAGATCGTCACCATAGTTTTTTGTAATCCAGACAGCTTCCATTGGCCCTGAGATTTTAGCAGCCTCTCCGTACTCGTCCTACCCAACCCTACAAAATTCGGGGTTATTTCGGGGTCAGGAAAATGAGGTTGCTTTCTTTTACTGTCTTTAGCATTTTGATTCCCATGTATAGCCTACTGGGCTCTGAACTTGGGCGATCTGTATACTCACGGGTAGCTTTCCAGGCTCTCCCCGAGTGACATGACAAACAGAGAGTCCATTCCCTGGATCCACCTGGGTCTCAGAGAAGCAAAGGTCGCTTTTGGTCCGCGCTTAACCCCTATCCGCTACGTGGGGACGAGCCACGTTGTCTCGCCAGTAAGCGGCTCGAGATTTTCATATGAGGAAGATCTGTGGAAGATATGATCAAATCAAATAATATCTCATACTCTGACCGATAAAGGACTAATTAATAAAAAATTCAACAGTATGTTTTTTACACTTTCACATTGTAAGAGTCTCTATACTGATAAAAACAAGTTGATTACTGCACTGATATTGGTTTTAATGTAGATTCAATCACCTCAGCGATGCTACTAATGCAGTTAAATGTGCTGCGGATTCCCAAGGAATTAATCGGCGCCAAAAGCTTTATCCTTCATCCTTCACATTGTCATGTTAAATTTGTATTACACTTAGTGAACTCGCCCGTATATCCTTGAAAAATAAAGGCGGCGAACGTGAGACGGAGGCGATTTGAACAAAGGTCGTTTTTTGGTGTGTCGCCAATCTTGGTAGGCTCTTCACATGCTAAGAGTGATTTAAGGAAAGGAGGGAGGGCTACGGTTGATGGAGAGTGCAGTCAGCAGTGTTGCAGACGGTGATGCCATCAAACCAGTTGTCACCACGGCTGTTGCGCGTAGTCCTGCATCTATATGTCGGAGGAAGCTGTTTAATTCCGTTTCATCACAAAAAGCGAACGCCGTCAACTTTCGTCTGAACGGTTGTTTTAGGTATTTAATTAAAAATGACGTGTCAGTCCTATGGTTGACGATGATATAAAAAACGTCGGCTACGTCCATTGATGTTCTTCACTGTAGCCCGCTTGTTATGTTCATTAAACATTTGCGCTAGCAACAGTATTTAAGAAGCCGACCTTCCTCCAACCTTAGCTTAACTAATCAATATGTGGTCTTACACTGATAAACTGGCATGATGTTGGCAAGAGGTTTCAATGATAAGGCGTTGTTAAGGTTTTATCAGCCTCGTGTTAGCTTATCAACGAAAGAATCCAAATTTTGTGTAAGTGTTTAAATAGATCCGGATAGATCGCGTGAGGATTGGACGAGCGGAAAATTCAGCCAACGAAGATAGGATGAATTGATCTTTAAAGGTCAGATGGAATGGTTCCAGCGACCACTCAGTCGAGTAGCTAAACTGTTTTCTTCCGTCCAACATGGTTTCCATTTCAACCTACTATATTTTTCAATTTTCAATTATAGCTTTTAGTTTTCTGAATACTGTAGTGTTCCCACCATCGCAATCTCACACATTCTCTATGGTTCAACGACAGTATCACCATGGCAACGGAGTGATGGTGATTGGTGCCGAACCATGAATTCGTCCTTCTATGGAGTCCGCGGAACCATGAAGAAGTTTCATATTTCATCTCAAAGCATGGTGAGAAGTATACCTCGCAAGTCAGGAATCGCTGCCATTTTGGAGAAAAACCATTTGCATTGCGGCTAACTTCAGTACCATTCACGATGTTCGATGGCTACCTTCGACGATCCCTCAGGAAGGGCGTCGAATTTCTACTTCAGTGCTTTATGAAAACGAATTCGAGCAACCAGATAGCAGCATTTGAAACGGAAACTGTGGTAGGCTCTAGAAGCGTCGTCAAGGAAAACAGTTGAAGTAATTGCCCATGGTATTGCAGAATTGAAGCAAGTACCAATGTTGTTGCCAAATGAGCTGATCGATTGTGACTTTGGAGTGAGAATATAGTAAAATTTCGTCAAAAGATATAAATGAAGTGAACAATGAAGTCAATGAATTATGACTTCTATAATGCTGAGATATTTGCTAAACTTCGGACCACAGGTGTTAACGGTGGGGAACGAATGCGCTATTCCCAAGACAGACTTTCTGTTAACCTCGGCATTGGTTGATAATTCGATGTTTTTCTTCAATAAGCAGACCCGAGATTGTTATTATAGAATTTATTAGAATACAATAGCTGACGTTTCGGCGGTTCCGCCTTCTTCAGAGCCGTTTATTTGTTGTAAGTATTTAAGTTAGTTGATGGATAACAGCCGCACAGAGTAATACATGGACGATAACTGTGTCTGTTTCCGGTCAATCGATTAGCCTAACAACCTCGTGTCTGCTTATTGAAAAAAAGATCGAACGCGCTGTTGACCTTTCCGTGGAGTAACGCGCTCACCACCACACCATGCTGGTCCGGAGTTTTGCAAATATCTCAGCATCATTGAAGATAATAAAAAATACTGTGAAATGAAATTGATGAGGCAGCTTTTAAGCTATTTTGAGGGCTTATTTGACATATTAGCTATCACTGCATTAGTTTTGTGACTATATTCGTTTTTACACTTCATTTCCATTCAACACGAGCAATGTCTTAGCTTGTACCTTGCCATGGGCTCACAAAAACTTATCACTCAGAGTCGGAAAATTGGTACCAGACTTATCTTGGATCAGTTTGTTCCTCCTATTCACAAAAGGCAGCGACTGCCTGTGAAAGAGATCTGGGAAACCTTCCGATGGCTATCCTAGGATTCCAAAAAGAATCGACTCGACGAGCAGTCAGATTCATAAAGGAAACCGAAAACCTTTGAGCAGTAAGGAAGCCCACAAGTAAAATCAGAAGACCTTTGGAAATGATGTATGCAAAGAAACGGATAGAATAAAAGAAGTGCTAGGGCTCGCGCAGGGTATGGTATCGGGTGGTGCAAAATAAAATAAAACAAGGAATATTAGCCTAAACTTAGCATCAGTCTATAAAATTCTTGAACTCTTTAAAGAACTTCAATAAAGCAACGAATAAACCCTACTCCAAAAAATACTGTTAAAAGAAAAGAAGAAAAAGGAAGAAAAGTTTTGTTGACGACAGGTCTTCGAAAAAACGTTTTCTAGTTGGTGAATTGGATTTCTCTACTTGTTGAATATTGCAGTGCATTGACGACTCAGCTGCTGGAGAGTCAGACACAGCTGCCCATTTGCAGGTAGTTTCAGAACCAACAGATTTCGCTTTTTTCTTTGTCGGTTATGATTCTACCAAGCGATGAATCCATTGAAAGTATTTAATTTTCATAGTTCGGAGCTACCTCAGACTTCCGTCTCACTTCCTCCAAAAAAAAATTCCTATTTTTTCAAACCTTCAGTTGTATGGTTATGGAGAAGAAGAATGAGCTCTCATGGATTGTTCTTTTACACACTTCCTTTAAGCAACGTTAATAACTTAACACGATGAGAAAAGGGAAGATTTCAGATACGACATCCTTTCCGACGGTCCAAATGGGATTCCCGTAAAATACGGAAGGATCGGTGAGATGGTATTCCATAAGTGGACATGTGTCTCAGAACTGACTGATGTCTACTGCATGAGAGTCCATTCATGCACAGTCTACGATGGTCAGGGTGGTTCGGCAGTTACGGTGATTGACGTTAATGGGTAGGTCAACCAAAAAGCTTTATAGAGAAATGTGACTAAATTCTTCCCAGTGAGATTGCACCAGGTTTGTAGACCTCTGAAAATGTTCCTTAATTGTTAATAATAGTGCATAATCCTGTACATGGTGCCTGGCGAGAGCACACCATCACAACATTATAAGTGCTTTCAATACACGTGTTTCTCAAGCATGACCCCCTCTCCTCCGCTTCGGATCAAAAAAGGACCACCTATCCTTCAAAGGTTGGCAAATTGCAGTCAGTCTTCTCTGGGAAAATTAGCCGTCGATGTACAAAAGGCGACGCCTGTCCTTTACATTGGAAACATTCCAACAGAGCTATTTCTTGGAGGATTGTCTTAACTAACATTTAGTAACACTTAATGAAGAATAAAAACTCATGAAATAGCAAGCAAACACCAAAGAAAATCCGAACACCTTCGGGACTGATGAACGCTAGAAAGCAAACTAGAAAGAAGCAGTGCTCCGATCCGCACTATATAGTGGTGAGACATAAAGTAAAAAAGGATAAAGATCTCGGCGTTAATCAATCGCTGAGAGATGTGCCATGCGTTCGACTTCACTATGTATCCTTTGGAGGTGATTGAATGCATATATGACCTTTACAATGACTCGCGGTGGCCTACCGATGTATCAAACTTCGATGGCCCTGGACACGGTTTAGATGTGGTCCATGCAGCAAAATCCTTTTCGAAATTCTGCTTGATCGACTGGTTGCCCCTCATCCAATGTCCCTGATATGCGCGAGAAGATAATCTTCGTGAAGAGCTTGAGCTGTGGCACTTAACAAGCATATGGGGCAATAGCTACGAAGATGCCTTCGGTCTCCTTCCTTGGGTAGGCTGCCGTGCGCGACGTCCTCCACTGGTCTTGGGTTTTTCCTTTTGAAGGTAGCCTGTCATATGATCTGCGAGAAGTACATGTAAATTGTGGCCTCCAGCTCTAAGAAAATCGGCAGTGATATTATCGGGTCTTGGAGCTGTGCTCTTCTCATGCTTTCTATCGCAACTCGAACCTACGGCGGACGAATTCCAGGTGGTTTTTCTTCAGCGGAGATATTAGAGCACAGGGCGGCGATTGTGGAACGGAAAAAGTTGGTGTAGAACATTTCCGCTATTAATTCCATATCACAACAGAAAGTTTTGATGATCCCATCTTCGCTTATCAAGGTTGACAGCGGAGTATTATAATCACATAAGTCCCGCCGGCACTTTTTTTAGACCGCTTCTATTCTTTGCTGCTTCCAGTATTTTCTTCTGCTTGTACCGTTGTAGATCTTCCTGCAAAGGTCTTTTGCAGCTAGCATTTATTACTAGCTATGTTAAACGTGTTGCAGTAGAATCAAGCTTTAGTTTCCTTCTCTTTTCGAGCAACGCACTAGTAATGGAGACGCAATCCGATCTTCTTTCTTAAGGAACTGAGGCGAATTCGGCACAGCTTTTCAGTCCTTCGACAAGCAGCTCGTAGTCCTCGGTCGGGTCTTCTTTAATCTGCCAGTCATGTTTGGACAGGATTTCGCTTAGAATGTTCTCGTCGTATACAGCTAGAATTTTTCCTCGTGGTCGATGAAGAGGGTTCTTTTCCAGCTTGCGGCTGAATCGAACTTTCGCGCGAGGAAGGTGGTGATCGGAACCAGTACAGAGTGACAGGACTACCGATGTGTCAAATAGGCAACATCTTCTGTTTTTCAGAATATGGTCGATCTCCGCATGAGTTATGCTGTTGGGAGACTCCCATGTCCAGCGGCGGCTTTCTTTCTTCTGGAAAAACAAGTTTCCATGGAAGAGACGTGCTGCTGATAGGAGTCATGCGAGACGGTTCTCACTCTGATTTCTTTCTCCTAATCCAAAATTTCCGACCCTGTATTCGCTCTCATTGGCCTTTTCTATAACGGCGTTGAAGTCTCCGACAATAAATTTATGATGTTCTCTATCATTGCGGATGATTTCTTTCAACTGATAGTAGAACGTATTTAATTCGTACTCATCAGCTGCGGCGGTCGGTGAGTAGCAGTTGATGATAGTGATCTTCTTATGATGCGAGAGTTGAAGAAGGACGGCTATGCGAGTGCAAATGCTCACGTATGAGTCGACGAGATGGACAATGGCCGGATGGACAACAAAGCCTACGCCACCGACATTTCGTGACGGTACCTTTTCTCCACAGATCACAAGGGTCCCGCTGTTTAGTTGGCGCATGTCGGTTTTCTTGATTTTTGTTTCCTGTGATGTGATCACATAAAACATAATGCGATCTGTGGCTACGGGAATGGCGTTAAGATCGGCGTCTGTGGAGAGCGTTCTGGTATTATATGTGCATAGTAAAAAAAACAATCTCCATGGCGTGTTGTGCATGTGCTCGTCAGAACTGGTTCCAATGACGTCCTGCGTAACCCGAGATTTTCTGATTTCAAGAGGTCGTCTCACCTCCCGACGTCATATACGGGAGCACCCAGCTTGCGGGGTACTGAGGTTGGCCTGTTGCTGTTCGTGCAACTTGGTCCTCCCTGGAATCCTGGGGTAACCAGGTCTTCACGACGATGTGGATCAGAGGGAGGTGTGTTTTCGGCGACGAATCCTTCACTCGGTCTTCTTACTAATTGATTCGGAGAGATGTTAAAACCAAAATCAGAAACGAAAACAAGAATGCGAAAGTAACCGACCGCTCGAGGACGATGTATAGAAGGCGAATCTACAAATAAATAAATTAATTAATAGGTAAACAAATAAAGATAAATAAATAGATCCCTATTTACTCTTTGTGATAATTTATTACCTCGCTAGGTGGAGGAAATGATCTCTCTAGGACGGTTCTCTTTTGTTGAGCAATGGCTAGTCACTTTCATCTGGTAACCCGATTAGGAACACAACAAACTTACGGATCGTAACCGACCTGGAAGAAACCAAGTCGGTAGTTAGCAGATTTCCATTTAGTCTGCAACGGCTGACATGTTTCGATGATGTTTGCCTTGTAAAGACCTAACAAGTGTCTATTGAGATTCTGAAGGAAAAACTTGCCCCATTACCGGCATACTATGAAATGGAAGTTTTTCTGGGGAGCGGAAGATTCCTAATGAGAGCGTGTAATTCAAGTATTCAAAAAATTGTGAAGATTTCAATGTAGATGCTGTAACCTGTCTATGGCTACGCTAAAAATTTTCTTTTACTCGAATGACTAGCCTTAGTACATTTTCCAAGTATTAACGTTGTCCGCTCAAGTAGTTATCTATCTCTTGTTTTATGCATTTCTTTTCATATTCTACATTATTTTAGCGCCTCAACAACTGTAAAATCGCTATGTGGTCGAGATCCGAGCAAAACTCGGAACCTCAGCTATACTTCGAACCCGCGATTACCCTTACTGGGTGTTGATGTGCTATCAACCACACCATCCAAAGCCCTTGCTTTGCCTTTCTCTTGGGCAGTTTTTTACTCTAGCGGTGCTATCAGTATTCACCCGTCAACGGAAATGATCTAGGGGTACAAATGGATATTGAATTTATCTGAACTGAAACGTCATTAACCTCGGCCTGAAAAATCGTTGTTTTTCAGATGCTCTGTGGATAGCATAATACTTCAGAATATCGATTATTTGGACGATATGACTGCAGGAAAATTGGCACAAGTAAGATTGCTTTTAAACGGATGGTCTCAGAAAGTAACTGTTTACTGTTTTCTTCTGGGAGTTCTCATGAGGAAAAACATTTAGAGTAATATTTATTCTTCTAGGTATTTAAATTCGCTGATAGAGCTACCTTGTATTTCAACTGTCAGATTCAGCTCACCATAAAGGATAAGCAGTATGGATGTTCACTTTCAGTGGGTTGTGTATCTTGCTTACAGTTAAAGTACATTTCGCCATCGGAAAACTTTATGGAAGAGTTAGCGAATTGCACAGTTTTTAAATAGAGTACTACTCATATTATATTACTCGTAATCTTATAAACCAGTAAACAGATTAGACGTGCGTGAATAAACTTCATTTTATCCTTGGAGACTATCAGCGTCTGCTCTAGTCTCTTGATAGTTAATTGGTTTGCCCAAAGCGTTCTCCCTACTCGAACTGTACATGGTGACCACACTCTGAAAGAGACTCGTTATTTTTTCATCCAGCGGTAGCGAGCAATGGGTCGTTTGCCACGCTATACTGTAGGGTTAGAATCTATCAACGGATAATTATTGACTTTTGAAGTAGAAGTTAAAGGCGCTCCTTCCATTTCTTACCATTGCCGTGTAGTTAGCAGCCAGTTGATTGTAACCAAGTGATGAAATCAATGTTCGCGATATCTGCTACATAAAGGTACGTATAACCCATGTATCCACAATAGAAAATACGTGCACATGAATGGTGTAAGAAAATCTGCCGAAGATACGCCATGATTTGCCATTTTGAAATCATCACCATGTCAGGGAATATACTCGACAGCTTTTGCTCAACGCTTATCTGGTCTCAGGCATCCGAAGAAGACGACTAATTGACCCAGATTTCCCGGACTATGGTGATTCGTGGAATGGGCTGCAGAGTTTTGTAAAACAAATCAAAGCAACAACATTTTTGCACTGCCCGTCTCCTACATGTACTATGCGGTTCCCAGCATTTCTCGCATTCAACTCGCTTTCTCAAATAAATCACCAACGAAAGTCTTCCGACTCTATTGGTGTGGCTTCGGCTGCTGTTTGAGGATTTCATTTGTTTCATGAATATTGTAGCATGTTGGTAGGATCGATTCTCCCTACAACCATGAAGTAGCCGAGCTAGAGCGTTCCCAGTGGATTACAGCCAGTGAATTCTTTTCCGACAAGTCTGCTGCCATTTTCCTGGTCGTAGAGGGATGAAAGGTTTGCTAAGCTCGAAGTGCGGTCGGTTAAACACCGCTCTTTAGGTGATTGGCATCATCACTACTGTGCTACCTGTCGCCTAACATGAAATATTACTTCAAATGAAAAGTTTCTAGATTGTGTTCCGTACGGGGTAAGATTACAAAGCAAGATTTTTGTTGCTTTAATTTTTTTGGGGCAGTGTAATTTGCCGACAATGTGAGCTCTAAAAGACTACGTGCTATCTGTAAACTGTTATCTGTAAGCGAGTTAGTCAAGCTAGTTTTATCTAGTACAAAAATCATTTGTCCTCTGTGTTAGCCTCACTGGCTCGGTGAGAACAGCATGCTTGAGCATCATACTTTTCGTTTGAGGGTATTATCCTTTCTGTTTACAGACGACAACATAGCTATGGTAACTTGCTGAACTATGTTGCTCAAATCTACTTGGTTTTCTGGGTTATCTCGGTTTGTCGACAAAAATGTCAACGCAATTCATTAGTTTCAACCCTGCTTGAAAGATACCCACTCAGCTGCACAGACATACGCTTATGGTCTAGAAAAAGTTTACTATCTTGTGGCGTAGTAAAGCGTAAAGAAAATTATTACATAAAATTTTATTGCGACTAAGGTTTCGAGGCCATTGCTTTCTTCAAGGTCGCTGTGAACAGTCGACTTGAAACATTGCAGCTCTGAAGGAGGCGTCGGAGCCGAAACTTTAGTCACAATAAACTTTTGTGTAATAACCTTGTAAAAGCTGGCAGTAGGGCAAAAAGGCATTAATCATTGTTAAAAAATTTAAATAACAATCGGTTTTTAAAAGCCAAAAATTCACTATTTCCAGCAACCACAATGCTCCCAGACGTACGTACAGTCGTCTCCAGTCGCCACTGAAGTCACCGACTACGCGACAAGTCAAGAAACTGGATATCCCACACGAGCGACAGAAGGACAAAGCCAAGAATCAGGATATCCCATGCGAGCAAAAGAAGGACGAAGTCAGGAATATGGATACCCTACACGAGCGACGGAAGGACAAAGTTACAAATCTGGTTATCCTACACGAGCAACGGAAGGACAAAGTTACAAATCTGGTTATCCTACACGAGTGACGGAAGGACAGAGTTACCAATCTGCATATCCTGCACGAGCGATGGAAGGACAAAGTTACCAATCTGGATATCCCACACGTGCGCCGGAAAGACAAAATTACCAATCTGGATATCCTGGACCAGCGACGGAAGGACAATACCGAACAGGTTCGTTCGTTAGTTAAGTGTTAATTGGAGTAAAATTAAAATTTCGGTGCTTTTTAAACTGACCATCCCTTAACCTTGACATTGAGAATCAATACCTCGGATTATTAAGCGAACACGAGTGAAATCTTCTTCAGCGGAGCAGAATTCAAATCAAGAAACCTACCCAATTTGGCAGCGGTCTTTTATGCAAGACGGTTGTTGTGATAGTGAATGGATTGTCATCTAGAAAACACATTATTATCAAAGGACAGTAGTTACCTACAGCAACCGTCCTGTATGATAAATATCGTCGGATGAGGATGCCTAATTCGGGCGGAGCTCCTAGAAGAAGATTAGACTCGACACGAAGACAAATGCGCCACTTCGAGAAGGCGAGCGGCCGTGTACCACAAACTGGGATCGTCTGCTCTGATGAAGACGAAGAAACGTCGGCCAATTAAACACTTTTATCAGGCATATGTTATGCTAGCTCAATGATCCAACGAGGTATTGAAGTTTCAGGGCTACTGAGTCAATCCAATTAAGTGCGGTTATTATGATGCTGCGATATTTGCAAAACTCCGGACCGCAGGTGTCTGCGGTGGAGAACGAACACGCTATTGTCCTTTTCGGGAAGTAACACGTTAACCACCACACCATGCCGGTGTTTCGTTTCGCCTGTCTCTCAGCTAGTTCTATCGATTAGGGCCATCAGCAATCACCGGCCAGCGGGATTGATCTGGGGAGCCCAAATCGGCATTGAACCCAGTAAAGCTGAGGCTATAGTTATAATCACAATCTTAACCTTTTTATTTACTGCCTGTTCTTTTTAACGGCGGGGTATTTGCATAAGGTAACTACTATAATACTGAGATATTTGCAAAACTCCGAACTACCGTTGAAAGGAATAGGCAGTAAATGAAAAGGTTAAGAATGTGATTATAACTATAGCCTCAGCTTTACTGGGTTCAATGCCGATTTGGGCTCCCCAGATCAATCCCGCTGGCCGGTGATTGCTGATGGCCCTAATCGATAGAACTAGCTGAGAGACAGGCGAAACGAAGGATCCGCATGCTGTGGTGGTGAACGCATTACTCTCCGGAATGGGCAATAGCGCGTTCGTTCCCCACCGCAGACACCTGCGGTCCGGAGTTTTGCAAATATCACAGCATTGTAGTAGTTATATTTCGTAAATACACTGCCCTTAAAAAGAATAGGCAGTAAATAAAAAGATTAAGATAAGTGCAGCTATTTTTTCTTGTTGACTTTCTGAATTTATCTGAAGGCAATAGTTATGACTGCTATAGAGCTTCAGCGACGTTGATTTCTGTGACCGTTTGAGTTAAATAAAAACTGTTATGACGAAGAGAAATTGTAAGAAAAATATCTTATTAATCAGATGATGTCGTGCTATTGAGTTGAAGGGGAAACCGAAAATTTTTCGAAGCTATTTCATTTTTTATGGCTAAACATTGGGGCTCGCTTAGCACAGTGGTCGGGGACGTCCTGCAACACATACGCACACATGGCCCACCAAGCATTCTATCCCTCCGAGGACGGCAAATTAGTACCAGACTTGTTTGCGAGGATAGCAGGACTGGCTTGATACAACAGTGGGCCACTCCGAGGTCATTGTAAAGGCCAGATATGCATTCAATCGCCTTAATGAAGTCGAAGGCATGACGTACCCTTCAGGCATTAATCAGCGCAGAGCGCTTTATCCTTTACCCTTTTTATGTTTAAACATAGTGAAAAAAATGCTTAAAAAGTGAGCGCGACTTTTAGGAAACTGCGAGTCAGAGTATCCAATAAGTAAAGAAGTGATTCAAAAAAACAGTTATGCACTATGTTGCTTAGAGATTATACCAGATTTAAAATGATTGGGATGACATATGAGACATTTCTTAAAGAAAGCCAGTGTCGAATAAATGAACTCACGCAAAATTTAGCGCGCGTCATCTTTATAATGCGCAATACAAGTGTTGAAATAGTCGATACGTATCATTTGTAGGCTGTACCAAGTTGCCGATTTTTTAGGTTACACGACGACACGCGCATCCGGGTATGACGACGAGTCAGCACGATATCCGCAGCCGGTGCCGTTCGTCACCACTGGAAAGGTGGGAGGAAACTTTCCACTCCTTTTTTTTACTGTTTTCAGAAACCTGTGAAAAGTTCTATGACATAGCTTTCAGTAAATACTTCTCTTTACAGCATTTCTCCCTTCCTTTCTTTCTGTCTCCCTGGTTTCATTACCGCTACAGATTCACTTTTAAAAGAAAAAGAGAAAGAGAAACAGCAAGCGTTAATCCTCAGAAAACGTGGTTCCTCTCTTTGTTCGTTTTGCATAGATTTTTAAGCAAACGATTTCCAATTGCATTGCCACCCTTCAGCAGATCAGTGTCGAAATAGGCGCTTAAAACTCTGATCCATCAAATTATTGATTGATCAATGGCTAGTCGATTCGAGAAGCAAACTCTCTGATGTCAGTGATATCATAGAACTGAGAAGGAAAACATAGTTGTGAATAAATGAATGAATGAATGGAATGAATGAATGAATAAATAAATAAATGAATAAATAAATAAATGATGGAACTGAGGAGCAGATGAATAAGTGAAAGAATGACTGAACAATGTTGATGGTGGCATTTCAGGGTGGCTACGAATCAACGTCAGAATCATCAAGGATTGGCGCACCAGGCATTCAACCAACATACGCCGACCTTCATCCGAACACCACCGAAAACGTAATCCAGTTAATTTTTATTTTTTCCAGGTAGTGGAAAAAATTGTGTCTACTGAATTGGAGCTTTTATCGGACTTTTTAGCAACGTTTTTGCATTCTTGAAAGG